GCGCCCCTCCCCCACCCCAGCCGCTGGTGGCCTGCAGCCAACACTGGCCACACTGTCCGCATTCAGGCCTCCCCGCCCTCCCGGCACTCTATCTCTGCCCCTGGCCGCCCCAGCGCTGGCTCTGTCTCCCCCCCGTTCTGAACTGTGATGACCTCTTCCGCCCTGGCGCCCCGGACGGATCGGCCTCAATCCGGAGCACAGGCAGGGCCCCCGAGGCCTCCAGCAGCCCCGCGCCCCAGGCCCGGCTCGGCCACCCCGGGAAGACCGCTGAGTCGGCAGAAAGCGGAACGTCGCCTGCCCCGGTCTCGGCTTCCCGGCCCCGCGGGCCGCACCCAGAGCTCGCCCCCTGCGGTCGCCCCTCAAGGTCCTTAACCCCTTCCTCCCCGAGCCGCACAGGCCCCGGCCTTGCCACCCACAGAGGGAGGGCTGCGATGGGGGCCACTGTCCGCCTGCACGAAGGCAGCGGGGCGCAGGCCCCGCTCGCCCGGCCCCCACCTACCACCGCGCAGGAAGCACCCCGCCCGCCTCCGCTGCGCCTCCGGTCTCTGGCCTGGTGGTTTCCGGGGAGAGCGCCCCACAGAGAAAGAGCCTCGCGGCTTCCTCCGTGGGGCGGGGCGCGATGTCAGCAAACCTGCCCTACGAGGCGGGACCGCCAGGGCGGGACACCCCTGCGCGCAAGGCGAGGGGAGCGCGGAGGTCAGCAGCCAGCCCCGCCCGCGTCTCCGCGCCCCTCCCCCCCAACGGCCGGATCCTAGGGTGGCCGGGGCTGCGGGCGCCACCCCCCAAAGCCCCGGGAGCCGCACTGACCTCAGCACCCCTCGCAGGAATTCTCTCCCCACCGGCGCTCCCCCGACTCCCCCAGGCTGCGAGTCACCCCTCCTGAGGGCCGGCCGCGCCCCGAAACCCGTGCCCAGGGCTTTGCAAAGCTTCGGCACAGGGCGCACAGAAGGCGGGAGTGGGGTGAAGACAGGGGGCTCGCTGGCGCTGCGGCCTCGGAAGTCCCCTCGGCGCTCATCGCCAACCGCAAACAGGCACCTTCAAGATCACCGTTTAATATTTACATTCAAGCAGGTAACAATCGGAAGCGTCGAGTTGAGATATTTCTAGCAGCAGCAGTTCCTAGAGACCTTGTTTTCAGCCTTTTAACAAACTTTTTTTTTTTTTTTTTGCACATAGAAACAAACACAGCCATGTGTACAGTATCAAAAAATATATACCAAGGTATTGCAGTTGGCGGGAGGGGCGGAGAGGGGCCGGAAATGAAGTCAACTGAAATACTGAGTGGTTTCCATCAATGTATTTTCAACATTTTTATCTAATTCTATTTTATTAACTTTAATTTTGCCATCATGTTAATTTTTTTTTTTTTTTTTTTGCACATAGAAACAAACACAGCCATGTGTACAGTATCAAAAAATATATACCAAGGTATTGCAGTTGGCGGGAGGGGCGGAGAGGGGCCGGAAATGAAGTCAACCGAAATACTGAATGAAGGGGGCGCCAGGGCAACAGAAAATAGTTTGTCTGATATAGAATATAACGTGATCTAGAGGAAACTCCATAAATCTAGGCTTTTATATTCAATATATAAATACCTACAAATAAATACAGAGCGCAGCCCGGAGGGGCGGCGGGCCTTCTGAGCTCAAACAGCACACTTCAATCATAACACCACGTACAAACGGGAGCAGTCAGCACTTGACAACTTAGCACGGATAAAATATAATACTATGACCCTGCGGCCTCCGCGCGAGGCTGCTGCGTCCGTCCCCCAGGCCCCTGGGGGCGGGGAGGGCGCAGAGGGGCGCAGCTCTCGTCCCCAGGGGAGGCGCACCGGGTGCCCGGCGGCGGCCACGCGGACAGCTGTGGTGCTCGCGGTTCCTTCGGGGTCCTGGCCTTGGAGGCCGGCCGGCTGGCCCGTGGTCAGGGGCAAGGGGAGTCCGCCCTGAGGCCCCAGTTGCTAAGGCCCCCCGCGGGGATAGCGCCTCGCTTGCTTCCGTCGCCCTCGGGCTACACCGTCACGTATTCCTTGAAGGTGACGGTGAGGCAGTTCGCGGTGACGTCGGTGATAATTATATTCCCAAAGAAGGGCTTGAACTCAGCCAGCGGCTCCTCGGGCTCGTCCTGGGCCTCGGCTGGAGGCTTCTGGGCCGCGGCTGCAGGCGGCACCGCGGCCACCGCCACGGCGAGCGTCTCAGGCTTCACCGGGCGGGAGCCGGGCGCATCCCCAGCCTCGCCGCGCGTTTTCACGCAGCGCAAGTCTATGGGCTCGTCGAGGTCCGAGTCCAGGAGGATGACCTCAGGCTGTGGGAGGGCGGCGGCGGCGGTGGCGGCGGCCGGCACGTCGGCCGGGCACTCGGTGGCCGGGCTGCCCCCCAGGCAGGTGGGGGTGCTGATGCTGCGCGCCGTCAGACGCTTCTTGCAGGGCTCGCGCTCGCCGTGGGTCTCCGAGAGGCAGCGCTTGCGCGCGTGGGAGAGATTGAGGCCCACGGCATGGTGGTGGTGGTGGTGGTGGTGGTGGTGGTGGTGGTGCGGGACCGGGTGCCCGCTCCGGGCCGGGTCCCAGGCCAGCAGGTCGGGTTTGGTGGTGAGTTGCAGGGGCTGCTCGCCCAAGGCCTCCTTGGCAGGCGAGAGCTTGCGGGGCCCGGCGTCCTGGGGTTGCGGGTCGCCGGCGCCCAGCGCCTCCTCCTCCCGCCTCTTGGAGGGTGCCTCCGCCTGCTTCTCCTCGGTTCCCGCGGCCTTTTTCAAAGTCCGGTCGGCCGGGCTGTGACGCTCGTCGGCCGCGCGCTTCCTGTGGCCGGGGGAGCGCGCCTCACCCTCCGCCGCCTCCCCGGACTTGATCTTGGCCGCCTGCATGCCGTTCTCCATGTACTTGCTCATCACGATGACGATGCGTCCGTTCTTGTTCTTGTTCCTCACGATCTTCATCTTGCCACCAATCCCGTTGCCCGTCACCGCCTCCTTGGGGGCCGGCGCCATGCCATTGGGGGGGCCCTTCTCGCCGCCCTTGCCAGGAACCCCGGCCGCCCCGGCCAGGGGCTTCACGGCTCCCAGGTAGCTCTTGGCCCCCGCGCCGTGGGCCCACTTGTCGGGCGGGTGGCCCTTGGCGCCCAGGTCCGGGCAGGTGGGGCTGGCTGCCTCCTTGTGGCCGCCCTGGTACTGCAGGTCGTACATCTTGGGGTCCGGCTGGTAGGGGTGGTGCTTCTTGCTGTTGAGCTGGTAGTAGTACTTGCCGCTCTTGCCCGGCGGCGGCGGCTTGCCGGCCCGCTCCTTGCTGTGCGGCTGGTACTGGTGGTGTTTCTTGCTGTTCAGCTCGTATTGGTGCGCCTGACCCTTGCCCTGCGCGCCTAGCTCCAGCTTCGCCCGGTTGTCAGCGGAGGAGTCCTGCAGGCCGGTCAGAACATTGGATCGCCGGGCAAAGGTGGGTACCTGCGGGAACCCGGGCGGTGAGAGGAGGGAGCAGGCCGGCCCCAGGGCATGCCGGGAGCATCAGGAGTTCCCAGCCCCCACCCGGTCGCAGCTGCGTCATGGGGGGCGGGGTGTAGGAGGTCTAGCAGAAAGGAAGTGGGGTGTCCGCGAGGAATTCCCACCGCGCTCGCGGCCTGGAGGCAGCTGGGATGGCAATGCCAGGGGGAGGGCTGCGGGTCGGTGGGGGCTGGAGAGAGTACTCACCTGCACCACCAGCGGCTTGGGCTTGGGGCCTCTCTTCCGGTACCCCATCAGCTGCTCCTGCCGTTCCCTGGGGGGAGGGAACAGAGGGCAGCGCTGTTAGCCTCAGGGTCGTCTCCCCGTGCCCTGGCCGAAACCTGCGGTGACCCCGGCCACGGTAAGCAGCGGGCAGGGGGCCGGTGGGACCCACAGGAATAAAGAGAAAGACGCAGAAGGTTCTGCCACCAGCTGGACTCCTCTGCTGCTCCCAGCACCCTACTCCACGCTCCAGCCACCCTCATCTTCCCAGGGGGTCCTCGGCAAAGGGCCCCCCCACCTCTGATGGCTGTATCAGAACTAGCGCCCCAGCGGCCTTGCCTCTCTGCCTGGGTGGCAGCAGCGCAGGGCTGGGTCGCCGGCGCTGGTGCCCACGAGCCGTAGGCCCAGGCAAAGTGGAGTGCGAGTGGGGGTCTGGGGACAGCAAACCAGTCCAAGCGAGGTGTGTGCCGACCTAGTCCCCCTCTGTCAGAGACGAGGGATGCTAATGACCTCATTAAGATTCAGATAACGAGTGCTGCCCGCAGAAGGGAGGGCTCTTTTTCTTAAAGGCCAGGGACTAAACAGGGGGAGGGGCTGCACCCTTGTTTACCCAACGGCAAATGAGCCAATTAGAGGCTGGGGGCGGGGGCGGCCTGGAGACCAGGCCCGGCCAGGTTTGCAGCCACCAGGTGAACCCCACCCGGTGGCAGGCCGGCCGGTGGGCGGGCCGGGGGCGGGGCGCGGGAGCCCCACCTCCTCGCTGGGCCGGGCTCCGGGCCGCCTCGATTTCTCAAATATTGATAAAGCCTGGGGACAGTGGCGCCGGTCAATACAGCCGCGAGGCTTCCGCCTGCGGCAGGGTTGAGGCCGACCCCACCTCAGCTGGGGGCGCATCGCTCCAGGCGCTGCGTGGCCCTCCACGAGAGAAGGGGGCGTCTCTCCAGTGTGTGCCCAGGCTGCAGTCCACGCCCGGTTCCGCAGCGACCCCTCCTCACCCGCCGGTGGGCTAACTCAGGGGGGGTTCAGCCAGGCCCTGGGGCCAGGGCCCGTGCCTGACTCCGAAGTTGCGTGGCATTGCAACAGCCCGCGTCTGAATTCCTCGGGGACCTCTTATGCAACATGGCATCAGCCGCTGACATGGTTACAGGGTGGTGAACTCCCAGGTGGAGCCCGGAGCAGGATACCTTGCTCGGCGCCCCCCTGCGTCGAGGGAGAGCAACTTCCCCCTCGGTCGCTTGCTCAGGGGGTCTGAAGTTTACAGTTTTAGCGCCAACCGCGCCACAGGAAATAATGCAAAATAAAGGGCGGGTGGGGTCGGAAGGCGGCGCAGCGGCCAAGCTCCAAGGGCGCCTGCCTCTGCTCCCTTCTTCCCCCTCCCCCGCCCTGTCCTCCCGAAACACAGCCACAGCCGCCGGCAGCGAATCCAGCGGCAGCAGCTGCAGTGTGACAAGCATCTGTGCGCAGAAGGACCAGCCCCTTCGAAGAGCCCCCCCACCGGGCAGCGCCCACCCCACACCCTTTGCCCCAAACTCCCCCCACCCCGAGGTGGGGGCACTCTGCCCCCCCCAGCAGTCCGGTGAGGGTACCAGAGGCGTTAGGGCTGGGCAGAATCTGCCCCTGCCCACCCCAAGCTCCCTGAGGGGTAACAGTGCTGGCGGAAGGCCTGGTCAACTTTTCTCCAGCCCCCAACAGGTTAAGTTCAGTTCCGTGACGTCCAGCGGTTTCACAATGCCAGCTCCCTCCGAGCTGTCCCGAAAGGTGCCGGTGCCAAGCTCGCTCTCTTCAGGAGAGCTACACCTAGGCCCCGGAGGCGGAGCTGCAGGGGCGCGGCGGGAGGGGGCCCTGGGACCCAGAGCCACCCACACGTACCCGTCCAGCAGTCTCCCCCAAAGCAAGCCTTGCCTTTCCCAGCCCCGCCCCCACCCCGGGCTGTAGCAACCGCCAAGGACGTGGGTTAGAGACGAGGCGAGGTCGCAGCCGGCCAGCTCTGCAGGGGAGGGGGGGCAAGGTCCCTCCGCCCACTCTTCCCCCCTTTCCCACTGCTGCGGTGCCCACTTTGCCTTTCCCGTCGCCGCGGTGGGAGGTGGCTGCTGGGGACGCTCACCTGTTCTGGAAGGCGATCAGCAGTCGCGGATCCAGGATGTTCTCCTCCGGTTCCCACGTGTTATATCTTGCAAGGGAAGAGGGAGGGGGACACGGCGTAAAACAAGCGAGCCAGCTTCTCGGCCTCCAGGTGGGGAATGACATAAGGCCCTATTCTGTCTTCCTGAACCGAAAGCCATTAAGCTGTAGATGTGGGGGGTGAAGGATGGATTTCTGCAGGCTTGACACAGTACCCCACACACTCCCCGGTGAACCCCCCCCCAGGTCAAAGAAACACACAAGGGTGGGGAGAAGGGAGAGCCGTGAGGAATATCAAACTAGGAGTTTATTTTGCAGTTGTCAAGAATTTGAAGCACGTTACTGCGACATGTTCCAAGCCACTCTGCCCACCAGGCACCCTGCGTGCAAAGCAGCCGAAATGCAAAGTCGCTGTCCCCTCCTCCTCTCCCAGCTCCGAGTCTCCAGGACAGCTTCAGCCGTCTCCATTTGACCCCTAATCCGATAACCGTCGCCCGGCGGCCCCCCCACGCCCCCTCGCGCGCCCCAGGAGCCCGCTGTCATGGGCAAGCAAACCCCAAATAATCAGCAGTCCAAAAATATGCCTCCGTGTGTGTGTGTGAGTGTGTGTGTGCCTGCGCGTCTGTCTCCATCCGGTGCCATCGCATTTCAAATTAAAAAAAATATATATTCCCCGCCATAAGCGTTGCGGTGACAGCTCTCAACCTTTTCTGCCTTTTTGCGTCCCCTCTCTGCGCCACTAGGAGGGAGGAGGCACACAATTGCATTTTCGTCGCTTTTTAATTTTTTTTTTTTTTTTGGTTTTGCAATATGGAGCCGTTCGGTGGAGGGAAAGGGGAAAGGAGCCATTTTCTGCTACACAGCAGGCTGTGCCGGCGCCCTCCTCCCTGCGCCGGCCTCCCCGGCTCGGCCCCGCGCCTCCCCGGCTCCTCCGGCTCCTTTTAGTGCATAAATTAGTGATGGCATTTCCCGGAGAGCCGAGCACAACACAGGGCGCCCGGCTCGGGCTGGCGGCTCGGCTTCCCCAGTGCCTGCCACCGACTTCCCCACCCCCTCCTCCGCCACCCCGCCTCCCGGCCGCCCCCCGCCCCCCACCCGCCCGGCTGGTCCAGCGGCCGAGCCCCGGCGCGGCGCCCCCTCCTCCCTCCTCGCTACTTACTTGGGGGACCAGCCTCTCCATTTCACCAGATACTCCACTCTGCCCTGCGGGTGAAAGAGACGCGACTCCATCAGCTTCCGCGGGATCCCCGCTCCGGCCGCGGCTCCCCACCCCATCCCCCCCGCTCCGCTCCGGGCCGTGGCGCCC